CCCGCGACTCACCCGCGACCCACCCACGACGCAACCCACCCGCGACCCAACCCCGCGACCCACCCGCGACCCACCCACGACCTACCCACACCTGATCTGTGGCGCCTGCGGCGGGCTTCTCCAGAGTCTCGCGAACTGCCGACGTCCCCACCGTCCCCTCTTATCCGCATTTGCGGGGTGCCACGTAAATGATGCAATCTATGCGGTGCAATCTACGTGGAGCAATGCGAAGCAACGCAGAGCAGTTCAAACCAGCGCAACACAACGCAACACAGAGCGAAGCAATGCAAGACGGGCGGCGACGAGGCGGTGGGCGGCGACAGGGGCGGCGACGGCGGCCACACGGCGGCCAGAGCGGCCCGCAGGCCCAGTCCCTGAGAACAATCGCGAGGAGCCCGAAAAACAACAACGGTTTGGGGGATCGCTCGCCCCTCGCACCCCAGACTCTGCCTCGAGCGGGGCGCCGCCGCGCCCGCACGGCTGTTCGACGCTGACGATGTCGAAGCAGGACGCTCGACTTGTGTGCTGGAGCGAACGGGACGTCTTTCCAAAATCGCGGTCCCGCTGAAAGCATTCCCCCCCCCATGCGGGATCGGCGCGTTGCTCCCGTCGTTCAGACGCCGAAGCGCGGGCTTCGCTTCCGAACCTGTTTTCTTTCCCAAGTCGGCGTCGCCCCCGTCCTCTTCGCTCCTCCGCCTTCTCCTGGTCCTCCTGCTCCTCCTCCCGCCCCTCCTAGGGAGCCCACAAAGGACGTACGCGCCCAGCTATGTACATGAACACGGCCCCTTCATCCGCGAGACCGGCCGCGTGATACGAACATTCGCGCAATGCGAGATCTCGAAAACAGCGTGGATTCATGTACGTGTACGTCCTTTTTTCGCTCCTGACCTCCTGCTCCTGCTCCTGCTCCTGCGGTTGCCCGGTTGCCTTTTCCTTTTGCTGGTCCTCCTCCTCCTCCTCTTTCTGTACCTCGTCCTCCATCATTATTCTCTCGTCCTCGCCCACCTGCGCTTCCACCTCCCGCTCTTCCTCCTCCGCATCCAGTGTACAACCAAAAATAACCACTGTCGAATACTGCCTCACACGGCGGGGTTGTTTACGGAGGGGCCCAGGTCCGCTCTGACACTCGTCGGCGGAAGGGAAAATAACGCAATGGGAAGGACGGGTAGGATGGGTAGGGCGTCATAGGTGGCACGCACATGTCCTCCTCCTCCTCCTCCTCCTCTTCCTCCTCCTCCTCCTCCTCCTACTCTTCTCTCTCGCACCGCAATCGGGCGCCCCCTGTCCGCGCCGCCGCCCTGCCTCGCGCGCCAAGCGCGGCGCGGGCGGAAAGCGAAGGGCCCCCCCAGACCGCCGGGGGGCCCTGTTTCCGTGGAGGGGTGGGGGAAAGGGGGAGGGGCCACCTATCCTTCCTACACCCCGAGGCTCAATCAAGGGAGGGGGAGGGGAAGGGGGATGGAGTGGCCCGCGCATCGGCCCTACAGCGCGCCCGATGTAGACGTGGTATCTTGTCCGCAGCTTCGAACTTTACTACCATTGTCCATCACGCTGTGGCAGCCCTTGATGTTACGCCGTCAACATGTTGCGCACATGGCTTCACCTCTGCGGCGACCGCCCGATTGTACCTGTGCCTACCGTGGACTCTCGGCCCTCCTCTCATCGGACCGTAGTCTGCTGGGCGCCGACCTGTATTACTACGTCATCGACGTACTGATTGCCGAGCTTCGCCTCGACAGTATCACCTATGGTGAGAGATCGCTTGGTCTCCTTGGGCTCCCGACTGCGGCCGTACCCTTCCGCCTCGTCGCCGAGCTTCTCAAGAGCCATGTCCCAAATCACCTCGCTGGTGTTCTGAAGTGGCCCTTGTGCTCGTTTTACTCTTCACATTTTGCCGCTGCTGCCCCAGTAGCTGCTAGAGAAGTGCTTGTTGTATGCGCTCCCCCATGCACGCCGTAGTTATTGAGCCAAGGCCTGTGTCTTCGACTGTAGATCTTGCCGTGTCCAGTAGAGTTCAGCTGGAGATCATCACAGCTCTGCGCGAGGCCCTTGTAGCTTGCGGTCCTCGTTGCTCAGCTGGTGGCCCCAGTAGCTCTGATGGAGGCTCTCGTGGGTTAGCCTGTGGCCCTGGTAGCTCCGCTGGTGGCTCTCGTAGCTCAGGAGGTGGCCCTGGTAGCTCCTCTGGTGGATCTCGTACCACAGCCAGCGGCTGCTCTAAATCTCGAGATCTTCTTAGTCTCCATGCTTCGATCTGGCAAGAGCGGCTGCAGAGTGATAACAGCATGTCAACCATAGCTTCAGTAGCAGACTGAGCTTAGGCCTCTCGAGGCTCAGCTTGATTGCGTTCGATGCTGCCGGGTCGATAAGTATGATCAAGAGCACTGCAACTGCCCTAAATCTCGAGATTCTCTACATCAGCATTTTTGGACACAACAAGAGCGGTTCCACAACGAGAGTAGCTGTTTGACCATAGGCTCGAGCAGCAGACTGATCTCAAGCCTCTCGGGGCTCAGAACTAATACTGTTGGGGCGGTCGAGCCGATTGGTGTACTCGAGAGCTCTGTAACTGCTCAGAACCTTGAGATCTCTCGGAAGTCTGCTTGCGGCCAGCGTATCTCAGCCTGCTGCCCTCGGAGCTCAAGCTCAGCAGGTGGTCCTCGTAGCTGTGCTGGAAACTCTCGAGGCTCTGCTCGCGGCTCTTGTCTAGTTCAGCTGGTGGCATTCGTAGCTCTGCTCGCGGCTCTCGCTGCTCAGCTTGTGGCCCTCGTAGCTCAGCAGGTGGTCGTCGTAGCCCTGCGAGTGGCCCTTGCAGCCCAGCTACTGTTCCTCGTTGTTCAGCTGGTGGCCCTCGCAGGCCATGTGGAGGTTCCCGTAAGTCAGCATGGGGCCCTGGTGGCTCCACTGGCGGCTTCCGTACCTCAAAAGGTGGTCCTGGTAGCTCCGCTCGCGGCTCCCGCAGCACAGCTGGTGGCTCATGTAGCTCAGCTGGTGGCCCTCGTAGCTCCGCTGGCAACTCTTGTAGCTCGGCTGGTGGCTTTCGAAGCTCTGCTTGCGGCCCCCGTAGCTCTGCAAGTGGTCGCCGCTGTGCTGGTAGCTCGTCCCCGTGGCCCGAATCTGAGTCGTCTGCTGTCCGCACGTAGTACTCAATTTTCCAATCGGCGCGTCTTGACATGGCACGGCCTGGTGGCACTCTGCGCTCCGCTTGCGGCCCGCGCGGCACAGCTTGTGGCCCCCGTAGCTCAGCTTGTGGCTCTCGAAGCTCTGGAGGTGACCCTCGAAGATCTGCTCGTGGGCCTCGTGGCTCAGCTCGTGACCCTTGGGGTCCTGCACGTGGCCTTCGTAGCACTTCTGGTGGCCCGTGTCGCTCCGCAAGTGGCCCTCGTGGCTCTGCGCGCTGCCGTGTATAAGTTCTGGTTCGTGCCCTGGCAGCCCAGCTGGAGGCCCTCGCAGCTCCACTGGCGCTTGTCGCAGCTCCGCAGGTGGCCCTCGTGGCCCTGCGTGTCGCCCTTGATGCTCTGCTTGTGGCAGTGGTAGTTCAGCCTGTAGCCCTCGTAGCTCAGCCAATGGCCTTCGCAGCTCTTCTGGTGCCTTTTTGTAGCTCGGGAGGTGGCCGATGTACCACAGATGGTGGCCCTCGACGCTTAGCTGGTGGTTATTGAGAGGCGCTGCCTGTGGCCCTCATAGCGCAGCTGGTGGTTCCCGTGGCCCTCGTAGCTCAGCGGGTGGTTCTCGCAGCTCTGCTTGTGACCCTCGTAGCTCTGCTCGTGGCCCTCGTCGCGTAGCAGGTGGCCCTCGCAGCTATGCTAGTGGCCCTCGCAGCACAGACGGCACATGTGGTGAGTTCGTCGAAGCCGTTGTGCTCACGGTAGCCGTTGTGGGCGTCGGAGTCGTAATCGTGGTAGGCGGCGTAGACCTAGTTCACCTGTACCTCCACGGCGCTGTAATCGTTGACTTAGGACTTGTTAACGTCGTACTGGCTGGCGCGCTTCATCACCAAGTTGACGTCCTTCTGAATGATGAAGCCGCCAGGTCCGCGCAGCGTATCCCAGCCTACGCGCTGCAGCGCGTGCTGCTCTCTGCCTCCAGCGGCTGGGTGTGGTCTCGTAGCCATTCTCGTCATAGACTGCTGGCGCCCGCGGCATACGTTCCGCCATCGCGCGGCGGCAGGCCGTGCGGGATGCGGCTGGCTTCGCGGCTCCAGGGCCCCGAGTGCGGGGGATGGATCCCGCATATGGCCTTCTTCTTCCTCCCTCCTCCTCCTCCTCCTCCTCCTCCTGCCCTCTGGAAGACGAGGAAGCAAATTTCGGACGTGTGCGACTGTTTCGTGCCCCAGGCTGGCTTCAAGCACCTGCGCCTCGCCGACATCCTTCGGGTGCCGCTGGTATCGCCCACAACGGCTCCCAAGGGCCCGAATTGCGACACGAAGCCCGACGGGAGAAGGACTAGCATAATAAGGAAAACGATACTCACCGAAAAACTCAGCGCACGGTGAAGATGCTTTCAAATACATGATGACAGCATCGCTTCCACAGCAAAGTTCGCACGGCACCTCGTGAGGCTTGGTAGCGAAACATAACTATTGGTGTAGGTGTGTGGCTGGCCCCCCCCCTTACCTGGTGTCCACAGCCCAACGCACTCTGTGCACCAGCGCACCAGCCGAATGGCTAAACTTGCCACAGGCGGCACACTCCTTTCTCGGGGTCGCGTTACGGTCGCAGCCAGAGAGCACCAGTCAGAAGATCCCAGATATCCCACCGGGCACCGCTCGCAGATTCGGGGGCGGTCAAGAGGGGGGCGTCCAAGAGGGGAGGGCGCAAATCGTGGCCGGCGGCATGTGCGCGGCCCATGGGGGGCAGGGACGTCATGAAATAGGAAGAAGCGCCATGAAATCTGAGGAGATAACATGGCCCACGCCATGATATCACCCCCCCTAGTCTCATCTCCCTCTTTGCCGCCCCCGACAGATAGCAGAATCGCCGGACAGGCTCCCCTGAGGCCCAGGCAGGCTGCAAGCAGCTGGGGGTGAACGGCTTGGCGCGTGCCGTGAGCTTGGTGCGGCTCGGCGGGTCCCTGGGCGGAGTGATCACACCCTGCCGGATCTCCTGCCGCGCTGCAAGGCAGGGTGCAAGGCATTGTGGGTTAGAAAAGCGGGGGGTCAGGGTTGTGTTGTTCCCATCGTACTCGAGGACCACATCCCAAAAAAGATTCCGAGCACCCAGGACAGTATCGAAACAGTGTCGAATGAGTATCGCCTCCCAGGGCCCGATACGCGAAATCCCTCCACTTTCGGTGCTTCCTTGGTGCTCGAAATTCGTTCTGGTGGCCAAGGCTACAGCAGGCTGGAACATCATAAGGTCAGGGAGGCAGCTGCATGCGGCCAGTTGTTCCCGGGCGCCTCGAGTGGCCTGGGGCGGCCATGCAGCTCCAGGGACAAAAATGCCTGGCGGTGGGGCCGACGCCAGTGGCGCGCAGCAGCTCGGGTACTCTCCCCCCCTTCTCCCAGGCATGGGGAAACAAAGAGGTACGGATACGGCTACAGCTGCTCCACGAATCGCCCCTGGAGAACGCTCTGGCCAGAACTTCTGGGGCGAAGCCTTCGTGGCAGCGGGGGCCCCCCGGAGGCCGCCCCCAAGAGCGGAGTCGACGGCACCCGCCTGTCGGGAGAAGTAGGTGGAACCGTGAAGCAGAAAGGCGGGCCAACGTAGACTGGCCGCGGGCCCGCCCAAAGAGCATCCAAAACAACAAAACAGACGGGTTGCTGCAGCATGACGATACCTACTCTCAATGACCCTCGTGTAAGGTACCAGTACCGAGATGGGCCGCTCCAGAACACCGGGTGCACCTCCTACTCTGGAGGTAGGAAAGGGGTGTGGCATAAAGGGGTGTGGTGACAATGCTGAATCTGGGGATACTTTCTACCGCAGATAACATCTCAGCCTCCACGATTGGCAACAAACCCTTTTTGTGCCACACCCCATTTCCTACCTCAAGATACCCAGATCCAACAGGGGATATGTCGACCCCTATCCCAGCCTTCGTGGGCCTTTCGAACGCACCAGAAATGCGGGGCCCAACCCTGGGATACACGCTGGGGGGGGGGGGGGGAGGCGCGTCCCTCCTCGACAGGGGTGCGCCCGGAAAGCCATTTCGGGGTTTTCCCCAAGCCTTTTTTCGTCGAAAAGTCAGGGGCCGGGGGACAAAAATCGCCTGCGAAAACGGAAACACTCCCGCCCGCTCCTCCGCCCGCCCCCCCCCCTGGCGCGCAGCACCGCCCCCTCCACTCGCTGCCCGCAGGCCCTCTCCGCGCCAAGGGAGCGCAGGAGGGGCCAGCCTCCCGATATATCATACCATTCCAGGGCAAGGCCCCTTTTTTGTGGACCGGCCCCACACACGTACGGCAGGTTCGTGTCGTGCCGACCCTGCTTCTGGTTTCTGACACCACGGGGATCGTGTTAAATCTTGAACGATCGGCCATTTCCGAAACGCCAGATCGTTCAGCATCGATCGATTCTGGATTGCCAGCGGCGTTCCACGTTGAACGCTGGCGGCGGGTTCGCCGCTGGTCGACACGACACGAACCTGCCGTACAAGGGCACCTAGTTGATTTCGCATTTCGCGCTCTCGCGCTGCCCGCCCCCAAGGGGAGAAGAGGAGGATGAACGAGGAGGAATCGGAGATGGACTTAGGTCGGGCATGTCCTCCTACAGGCGGATTTTAAACGAAAAATAGGAAATACCCCCAAAATGCAAAACATTTGTCAAAACATCAGATAATCGAACATAGTCAAAACATCGTCCCCAGACTATGTTTTGACTGTTTTTCAACTTTCCTCCTGTAGAGGGACACACGCCCGACTTGAAGCTGGACCACAAAGAAGGAAGAACTTCGCGCCCTCGAGGGCGCCCTTGCACACATCGGCGGCGAGCGAGGGGGGGAATGGAGAAGGAGAAGGCCTTCTCAGAGGGTGGCTGTTAGGACGAAGCCGGGACGAGGATAAAATCGTATGAAGGCTCGGAAAGCGCTCCGGAACGCTCTGCAACGGATCTGTCCTCGTCCTAGCCCCGCCCGAGAGAAGGAGGAGGCCTTCTCAGAGGGCGGCGGGGCTTCTCAGAAGCCCGACGGCCTTCTGAGGAGGTCTGCGTTGCGTCCCCGGGGGGATGCTCAGAAACCTTCTCAGAGGGCGGGAGGGCTTTCGGCAATACGCAAGAGTGGCCCGGGGTAAGGGTGACCTTTGGTGCGCGGCTTTGGGGGGGCCGCGGGGGGACCAAATCTGGGCGCGCAAGCAGCTGCTACTGTTTCGTTTTCAGCCATCTGGGGACTCATCTTGGCTACCTACCAAACCACCCCAACCCAACCCGAAGACCCGAATTTCGGGTTGGGGGGGGTATGGGCTCCATATGTGTTTTTTCGATGTTCCCGGACCCCCCCCCACTAGAAATCGAGGGTAAATCTGAGCCTTCGGGTTGGGTTGGGGTGGTTTGGTGGGTGGTGACATCTGTGCCCGCACCAAAGGTCACTCCTGCGAAAGGTCACTCTTACGTCTAGACGACTCCTGAGGAAGCCTACCCCCTCTCACTGCCCCCCTGGGCTGGCCGTCGAGCATACGCCCCTCTCCTCCTTGCCGTCGCTCGGGCGCGGTTTTCGTGCGCGTGCTGCTGTTTCTCCGCAGCGGTTGACATGCTAGGAACGGTCGAGTTTCTTGCCGCTTCGAACAGGGGCCTCAAGGGGTCCACGCAGAACGAGTGGACTCACCAAGGAACGCACAAACAAAAACACGAAAACTACACGTACGAGCGACGCCAACGACAAAAGGACCCGCCACTCTCGGGCCGTCACGATCCTGCACGCCGTGCGCGAACCTGCAGTGCTTCCGCTTGCACCTGCCGCCGAGGAAGGCCTTTGTAGGGGATGCCGCTCGCCACTCGCCACGGCCAGCGATCCGGTCGATGAGGCGAGGTGGCCCTGAGATCCCGGCGTCGCAATCATGTCGAGCCTGGCGTTTCTGCGCGGTCTCGGGCCCCGGGGCCGTGACATACCGATCTGGCTCGAAGAACGGCCCAGACAGGTTGGGTCTCCGGGGGGGGGGCGGGCCTAGCATTCGACCCTCGAGGGTTGAGGGGGGCAGGGGACAGTAGATGGACAATAGATTCAAACCCTTACACATTCGAGGGATATTCTAAATCACCCCCGCGCCCCCGACATCAATGTTGATCTCAGTAAAGGCGGTGCTTTGGGGTTCGAATATTTCTGTCCACTCACGCCACCCCCGTCGCCACGCCATCAATATTAATTTCGGGGTGTCTGGGGGGCATCTTGGGCCACAGGGTTCGAATATAATGTGCATGTACGGGTGGGAGGACTGGGCGCGTTCTGGTGGAGATTCCTGAGCGTGTTTGGCCCGTTCCCCCCTGCCCCGGGGGGACCGCTGGGCGTCCTCTGGAGGCCTCTTGAGGACGTCCCGGAAGGCACAGGATCTCGTGCGGCAGCAAAAAACTTAGCGGGAGGAGGAGGAAGAAGAGGAGAACGAGGAGGAGGAGGAGGAGGAGGAGGAGGAGGAGAAGGAGGAAGAGGAGGAAAAGAAGACGGCTCATTCCCCAAGCGATGCTTGCACTTAGGGGTTCTCGCTTCTGTTCTAGGGAACTTGGCCTGGGTGTCGGTTTGGCGGCTCCGTGCTCGCCGTCGCCGCCCCGTCGCCGCCTCGTCGCCTCCCGTCGTTTGGTCCTGGGTGTCGGTCTGGCGGATCCGTGCTCGCCGTCGCCGCCCCGTCGCCGCCTAGATTGCACAACATAAATTATCCGATAAAAAATCTTAGGATATACCCCCTCCCCGATTTAACCGCCCCCCCTTTCGCATTGCAGATCACATGCGGATGTCCCTAATCATCCATCTTAAATTTGAATTCATATCCCAAGCCGGTATCGACACCCTCCTCGTCCTCTGGAACAAACTACGCGCGCACTCTTTCATCACACATCACAGGTTGCCTAGAAGCCCTTGCAACAAATGGGACGACATGCGCAAGCGCGCGTCGTCGCGCGCGCAAGCCGAAGTCGGTCAACAACGTTGGGTCCTGTAGGGATTTGGGACCCGAATGTCCCGAACACATACTAAAACACCTGGCATCGCAACGCGATTATTCAAAACATGTTTGCTCTCGGGATTGCGCTAGCTATTGCGACAACCGTAGCATCATCACAGTTTGCTACCAAGCGGGCCTTTTTCGCGCGCGCGTCGGAATCGTTCGAATGCCCTTGCGCGCGCGCGCTGTCGCAAACATCCCTTGCAACAAATGGGAAAGTGCGCTCGCGTCGTCGCGCGCGCATGCCGAAATCGCTCCAAACATTGTGTTAAAAGCAAGTGCCCCGACAAAGTATAAAAGCACATGGCTTTGCAATATCAACTTTCGAAATGCCTGCGCTCGCGCTCTTGCGAATTCGTTCTACGAACCAGAAATAGTCCACAATGTTCATGAGCTTCGGCCACACGGGCACCTCGCGCCGCACGTCGAAATCATTCGAACGCCCACGCGCGCGTTTTAGGGGGGGGGCACGATCCATGTCACAGAGAAACACGCGGGCCAGTTTCGCGCATCGGCCGCGCGACGCATGTCGCCCCCCCCCCCCCCGATATATATATATATATATATATATATATATATATATATATATAAAAACAAAAAACTCCATCGCAGACGCGACGGCGCCGCCATCGTTTTCGGCGTGATCAGCATCGGCGCCGTCACTGGCCTTGCCGTCGTCGTTGTCATCATCGTCGCCAACATCGCTACCATCATCATCATCATCGCGTCTACTGTTGTTGACGTTGCCATGGTACCGCGCCCGCCCAAGTCGCCGACTCGCACTGAACTGCCCGCTGTGAAATGCCTAGCGGTCAGCGGTCAGCGCCACCGCGGCCGCGTCGGTCGCGCCAAACTAGCTGGCCGCAGGGCGCGCGAGCATGCGCGGGCTAGCACGGCCGCAGAGATACACAAACCAACTCCAAACACTCATCGCAATCGCCGCCGCATGAGTTCTGCAAACCAAGCTGCGGGTGGGTGAGTGGGATGGTTGCGCGAGCAGTAGAGTCTACAACTCACTGAGAACACAAAAGATTTGTACCACATAGATTGCACCATCATGGTTGCAACACATTGATTGCATCGCATAGATTGGTTGCACACCATATTTTGCACAACCTATATTGCACAACATAGAGTGAACAACATATATTGCACCACGTAGATTGCACCACATAGCTTGCTCCACAGAGTTCGCACAGAACATCTTGCTAGAAACACACTTTTTGGAGTCCACGCTGGCTAACACTGTGCCACGTTTGACGGCGTTCCGCGGGGTTCTGAGGATCCTCCTCCTCCTCCTCCTCGTTCTGCTCCTCCTCCTCCTCTTCATCCTCCTCTTCATCCTCTTCCTCCTCCTCCTCCTCAACTCTTCCTCCTTCCTTCACGGAGCGGCAGTGGAGGAGCTGGAGACGGGCAGGGGTGCCGGATCGGAGTGACGAGTGCAATGGAAACCCACATTGGCCTTGCACATGTGCATGTAGCGGAAGTCGGGGGCCGGCCTCAGCTCCGAGTCCGAGTGAGCAAATCCGCACGAGCTGCCATACTTGCACCTGCCCTCAAAGAAGAACGAGCACAGCTGGGTCTTGCGCAGGTGCCCGACGAGGCCAGCTGACTCCGCTGGGCTCTCGTCGTTCGTCATCTCGATGTAAGGCATGGGTACGGTAGGCGTGTAGGACTGCCTACAAGAGAAGCGGAGGTGTGATGGGCAGGGTCACCTGACCGGATCCTCGAGCCGGAATGTCGGCTGTCATAATTCAGAGCTGACCCAAGTCAATGGGGCGAAGAAACAAGTAGCGAAAAGAGGAGGCAGCATTCAATTACATGTCTCCGTCAATCACGTGCACGCTTGCACATGTTTCAGACACTGCACCTCTGTGGACGATCTGAAATGCAGTATGACGGTCAAGCAATGCCCAGGGGGATGTAAGCCCGAAAAGCTGTTTTTGTTGTAAACGGTTCCCCCCACCCCCCCGCCCTCTGCAGGCGCACGCCCCGGGTTACGGTCGTGAACTTTTGCTCAGCGTGTCGCGGCGGCGGACCCCGCAATACGCTGTGCCGTGCAAGCGGATAACGTGTCGCTCCGCTCCGCGGGGCACCAGCAACGCCATCTGCAGCAGAGGCACCAGCACAGCAAATGCACTGGCGCGCCGTCCGGGCGGGCGTCGCGTCTGACTCTACGCAACGACCACGCGTCCCCCTCCCCCCCCTCCTGGTCGATATTTACCCCGCACTCCCCCCCTCATCCGTCATCGTCGTCGTCGTCGTCGTCGCCGGCCGCCGCCAACGAGTTGCGGGATCTCCAGGTGAGGGGAGCGTGCGGCTCGGATTGTCGCCGCCGTCATTGTCCGCCGCCGGCGCTGACGCTCGATGAGGAGTGCCCCTGCTCGTCGCCGCCGTCGCCACTGAGGTTAGTTAGTGGCCATCGTCCAAATCAAATTCCAGCTGCGAAAACTGTGCTTTACGTAATCGCTCCCTCCATACTCGTTCTTGTTAGTCGGCATCAAGACAAATTGCGCAAGCGTGTGGACGCGAAGCAGGCTATTCGTGTAACAAGTGTCCAACCTCATGCGTGTGGAACCCCATGCGCGTGGAACCCCACTCCTACGGCAGAAACGCCGTTTGGAGGGGGGAAATTGCAGGGTTCCATGAGAATACACAGGGATCCAAGCAGCCACAGAGAAGTGCGGCAGACAGGGCAGAGAGTGACCCGAGTGCCAGCACCGCTTGCGGACTGAGCAAGGGAGGCCTGCACGAGAGAGAGAGAGAGAGAGAGAGACCCTCAGATACAACGTTTGAGAAAGAATCCAGCATCGCTGAAAATCACGATCGGAACCCTGGACCCCATCTTGCTGCGCCATGTTTCGAGCCGCAGCGATATGAACCCCACAGGGCCCGAGACCAGGCGAAAACGCCCGGCACGAAACGCAGCGCCCAGATCTCGGCGGACACGCATACACTCGTTCTGCTCGTCGCGGCCAGGCGCGCCGCCGTGGCGTCGAAGCGAGGTCCACGCACACAGCCACGCACACCGAGGCACAGACACGCACTTTGGCGTCGCGGCCACGCGCGCGGCGGCGCGACGCAGCAAGTGCGGCGACGAGACGCGCGCGGCCGCCCGTGGCCACGCGGCGCGGGGACTCGGGATCCTCCCATACGGGGGGTCCACGGGGTCACTCGCGGGGGCCTGACGCGAGGGGGAAGGTAGGGAGCACACAAAGGACGTACGCGCCCAGCTATGTACATGAACACGGCCCCTTGACCCGCGAGACCTGCCGCGCGATACGAACATTCGCGCAGTGCAAACTCCCGAAACCAGCGCGGATTCATGTACATGCACGCCCTTCTTTCGCTCCTGTGAAGGGCGGGGAAGGGCGGGGAGACACCGGGAGAGACCCGGGCAGGGCCGGCGCTCGGCACGAGAACGACAGGGCGGAGCGCAGCGACACGGCCGCAGAGGCGGGCCGCGAGGGGAGAGGCGACCGGCGCCCGAGGCCCGGCCGAGGCAGGCGCCGAGGCGAGGAGCAGCAGCGGCGTGCTGGGCGAGAGCAGCACCGAGCCGAGCGGCGGCAGCGCGCGGGGGCCCGCCGGCCGCCAAGGCGGGGGGGCAGCACCGAGGCTGGCAGAGGCGTGGTCGGCAGAGAGGGCGGGGGAGAGAGATGCGGATGCAGCACGGCGGGGGGGGGGGCACACACACGCACACACGCACACACACACACACACACACGCACGCACGCACGCACACGCACACGCACGCGCACACACACACACACGCACACACGCACACACGCACACACACACACACACACACGCGCACACGCGCGCACGCACACACGCACGCGGTCAGCTTTCCGCACGGGCCTCTTGCACGGGCCTCTCGGCCACGGGTGCCGCGCCGCCCCCGCAGCGGCGGCGCTTCGCCTCCGGGCTGGCCTCCGCCCGCGCCTTCGCCGGCGTCGGCGCGCCCGCGGGAGCCCCGCCCGCCTCCGCTCCGGCAGCCGGCGCGGGCGCCGCCCGTTTCGGGGGCGCCGCCGCCGCCGGGGAGGCCGCGGCCGGCGCGCCGGGCGGCGCCGTGGGCGGCACACCCGCTGCCGTGGGGGCGTGCCCGGCGCCAGGGGGCGGCGCCGAGTGCGCGTGGCCGAGCGGCGCGCCCGCGGGCGGCGGTGCGCCGTCGTGCCGCAGCCAGGCGTGCTGGAGCGTCTGCTGGACGTCCAGGCGGTCCTTGGGGTCCACGGTCATCAGCTGCTGCACCAGGAGCCGGGCGGCCAGAGACACCTCGGCCCACTGCTCGGCGTCGAACTCATACATGCCCTGGCAGATCTGGTCGTAGAGCCCCTCCTCCTCGAACGGCGGCGCGCCGCTGAGCAGGATGTAGAGAATGACTCCCATGCCCCACATGTCCACCTGCTTCCCGTAGCCGGCCTCCGCTGTGCCCACCTGACCCGGCGCCTCCGCATTCTCACTGCTAGCGCGGAACGTGTAGATGAGCTCGGGCGCGTAGTAGTAGGGCGTGCCGCAAAACGTTCTACAGTCCCGCGTCCTCATGTTCATACGGGCGAGCCCGAAGTCCGCGATCTTTAGGTCCAGCGTCGCCCGGTCCCTTGACGTGACGAGTATGTTATCGGGCTTGAGGTCGGCCGACCCTATATGGGCCAAGCGGCGCGTGAATTGCCTACCTCTAGAACCCATCGACCCAACTGGGCCGAGTGCCGCGGACTCAAGAAGGAGAGACTGGCTGCCACCTGCTCCCTTCCCGGCGGTCAGCCTAAGACACCTCCAAAATTGTCCCAGCGCGGGCTTGGATGGCTCCAAGATCGTCCCAAGACGGCCCAATGTGACCCCACATGCACCAAGGGGCCAAACAACTCGCACGAGAGGTTCCAAGTCCAAGAGTGACCAGAAGCGGTCGAATTCATGCCACAGGCACCAAAATAATTGCAAATCCCGAATGCTAAAATGTGTGTTTCATGTTCTGCTATCCATGCTTTCAGGCCTGAGATGGCTTCAGGAGGGGTGTGGAAGACCCCGAGGCGTCCCCAAAGCCGAAAATAAGCCCCCGAGACGGCCCAATAATGCCACGCAGATGTGCCCAAGACCAAAGGACGCAAGCAAAGTGAGGGGTCAGCGGGTGTGACGCTTGCCCGATGGATCTCGGTGAACTATGCTCCTCGAGTGAAGGTAGCAGATCGCCTCCGCCAGCTGCCCGAAGACACGACGCGCCTGAGTCTCCTCGAAGGCACCGCCCTCGACGATGCAATTCAGCAAGTTCCCGCCCTCCACGAGCTCCATGACGACGTACAGGTGCTGCTGCGTCTCGAAGAAGTCGTAACACCGCACGATGCCTGGATGGCTGAGCCCCATGAGCATCGTCGCCTCGTCTCTGAGCGAGAGGTGCGTCCCTCGCTTGGCCTGGAAGGCGGCAAAACTCCTCTTGTCTATCACCTTCACCGCCCGCTTCATGTCGCGCGGATCCCCTCCACGGACCGGCACGCCGAGGCGGACCTCGCTGAAGTTGCCGCTGCCGACGGGCAGGAGGCCAGCGACGGACGCACGGCCACACGCTTCCAGAGGCCCGCACGCACCTCTCGGGCCCGCGCTTAGACACGAATCCTAGGTCGGGAATGTCCCCCTGCAAGCGGATTTTGAACGAAAAATAAAACATACTCCAAAAATGCCCCGGAATACTCGACAAAATAATCAAAACATCGTCCCCAGACTATTCTTTGATTATGTTCGAAGATTCCTCCTGCAGAGGGGCAGACCCGACTTCACACCACTCCCCGCACCACTCACGCGGCGCCGACTCGAGAGAGCTCCCCGCGCGAACCTCCGAGGAGCCCGTGCGCGCGTGTGCTGGCGATGTCGTTGGCCTCCCGGGATGGGCGTGCGGATGTCCCAGTTGCTCTGCACCCATTGCTCCTGGGGGAACAAGAAGGCACCTCATCCGCCCCGATGCACAACACGCAACACGTAGCGTATTGATACGGAGCTCAACACGCATCCTGGAAACGTGGGTCTGACGCGATACTTTCGCCAAAACTTGGGCCAATACGTTGAGCCGACACGCAACGTATTGGCACGGGACGTTTTGAGCACGACACGTGTTGCGCATCAAAATTTGCGTATCGAGGCAGCCAAGGAAGGTACCGATACTGCTACTGTTAAGTCGGGCATGTCCCCCTACAGGGGGACCTTCGACGAAAAATTACAAAAATTATGAAATACCCCCAAATGGCCAGAAGTTGTGTATACATATTTATATATATATATATATATATATTAGAGAAAACGTCCCCTGACTATTTTTGACTATTTTTGAACATTCCCCCTGTAGAGGGAGAGGCCCGACTTCATGCTACTGCACGGGCCTTTCCTGAAACGGCTTCTGACCAGGATTCCGGGGCGAGCCCGGGTTTGGCGACGAGGGCTCTCCCGGAGGAGCAGCGATGCCGGTGGTGGTAATGATCTCTCGACGCCCCCCGAGTTCCGCCAGTGCCTCGCTCTCTCAGTCGGCGGCCCATGAGCGTCTGCCCCCTCGGCTACACACAAGAGTGACTCTAGGCAAGACTGACCTTTGGTGCGCGGCTTTTGGGGGGCCGCGGGGGGACCAAACTCAAGCGCGCAAGACGCTACTATCGCATCGCAATCGGTGATCGGGGGACCCCATTGTGCCCGCACCAAAGGTCATTCCAGTGAAAGGTCACTCTTACGTGTAGTCGGCCCCCTTCCCAGGGGGAGCGTTTCGTCTCCGATCCAATTTCTGTACTGCCCTGGGGCCCGATAACGGGCCCCATGCAGACGTCGAAAACGTTCAGCGGTGCCCAGACCCCTGTGACTTTTGCACAACGTCGGCCACAAAAAATCTGGACCCCTTCCCCAGGACCGGTTTTTCATCATGGGTCGTCGTTGACGGTCCCGGGGCCCGGTAAATGCCCCCGTAGGCCGAAAATAGCGCAAAACCCCCCCGTCGTGATTTTTTCACCTCGCGAGGGGGTCTATAGGTATCGGTGCCTCTTCCTCCCCTGGGGCTCCGTGACCAAGTGCTCCACGCCCGACGCTGCTGCGGGCCTCGGCGAGTCGGCCCGGCGGCTCAGCGGGCTGCCGTCCAGGGCGCCGGGGCCCGCCCGGCCCGCCTCGGCGCTGCCGTCGCTGCTGAGGCCCCGGCAGGCGGGGTCCGCCTCCGGGCGCGCGAGCTGGAACATGAACACCGCGAAGGGCGGGTTGGTCTGGTCATGGGCTGGGCAGCGCCGAGGGCGTGGTCGCAAACCCGACGGTCGGGAGCTCTTGCGGCGGCGGCCCCGGCGGGGAGCCGTGCCTAGGGATGCCCTGCAGGCAAGGTGGCGCGGCGCGCGGCGCAGCGGGGCGGAGGGCCAGGGAGAGCTCGGCACGCGGGCGCCGATAGGCACCGCGAAGCGGAGTAGCGTGGCGCGCCGAGGCGTGGTGGACCAGAACCGGCGGAGCGGCACGCTCACCAAAAGTCCCCAACCGTACCACCCCCACCCAGAGAACGGCATGACGGAAGCAGGCACGGGGTCGTGCGGTCCTCTCTGGATCGCTGCGAGGTCGCATCGAGGCCACGCGGTCTGCGGCCCCCCTGCCCCCTTCCCATGCTCACAGGGGTGGCCGCCGAGCGTAATTCCTCGGGCCGACCTTTTATCGGGGGCGGGGGGCGGGGGGGGCCGAACTGAATGTTCCCGTCAAGTTTTTGTCCAGGAGGGTTGTAGAGGCCTCCCAAATGGGGTCCGATCAGATGGGATCGGATCATCGCTCCGCATCGCCCCTCGCCCATGCATCGGCGATACATCGCGCGCTGTCGGCGACGCTTCGGCGAACTCGGCGCGGAGGGAGTCTGGTTCCACGTCGAGCCGCATCGCCGGTGCATGGGCGATGCGGCGCGATCCTCCGACCCAAATCTACTCCGACTCCATCTGGGAGGCCCAGAACTCCGTAGGGTGGCCGCCACCTCCTCCCGAGGATCGAGAATCGAGGGTCGAGGAGGGAGGGATCGAGGATGGGCGGGTTTTTTTGACGTTCTTGGAAGCTGCGGGTGGTCCTGGCGTGGTGGTGATGGGTCCTGTGGGGTCCTCCCCCCCCTCTTCCTCAGCAGGAGGATGCGGCCCCCCCGAGCTTTCAGTGGTGACCCCCTTTGGCAATGCCCAGATGAGCGTAGACACAGAGCGAAATCTCGTCGCCGTGGTGCAGCACCCGAGTGTCGCCCTTCCTCATCTGGGTCATGTTGACGAAGCACCCATTGGAGCTGAGCTCCTCGATGAAGTAGCGGAAGGCGTCGTCGCGATAGATGCGCGCGTGCTGGCTGCTGACCTGAGGGTGCGGCACCACAACCTCGCACCGGGGGCTCCGCCCGATGGTCACTTCCCGGTCCTTCCTGCGCAGCGTCACGCAGGGGCCCCCGCTGCAGTCCTTCTCCCCCTCCCTGCGCAGCTTCACGCAGACGAGGCGAGCGTGCACGCCGGGCTCCTCCTCCACCTCTTCGGCCTGGGTGCTGATCTGCTGCGTGGCCATGGGCTGCGTCTCGGCGGGCTGCGTCTGCGAGAGCGCGTCATGGTCCATGGAGAGGGCGGCCCTTCGGCACCGAGCAACGCGGGCGACTGGCGGGGCCCGCCGCTCTGGGGCCTCGTCGCGCGAAGCCGAGTCGTCCAGCCCCGCGGCCACGGGGCGGGGAGGGGCGCCATAAGCCCATGCTGGTGCCTGGACCAAGCTGGCGACGGAAAAATGACCTCAACGCTGCGGGGGTCCTGACAGAACATGCCTTCTGCCATCCGAAGAAGAAGAAAAGGCTGCACAGCAGTCCCCTCGACTAACAGCAAGCAACTACCAAGAGGTCGGGAAATCGATCGCATGAGCATGCAGCAGTGCCAGACACGAATAATCATCTGTTCGGCGTGCGCGGTTGTGCTGAAAAACACACACACACATACACACACACACATCGACACTCTGTCACGGCCATGCTTTTCACGATTTATGTGGATGAACCGAGCCCAACGTAAACAATACGTTCAATATCTGCCAGAGCATAGAACCCAACCACTACAGCACGTTCTTCTCTTGACCAATCAGCTCCGAAACGTCAGGCTGGGACCACAACGGAAAGCACACCTTCGTGCCCCATGCCCCGTCTGAGCGTTCCAGAGGACATGGAGGATCATGGGTATCAGTATGGTGACGGGTCAGGCATCTTCGAAAACAAATCTATCGACATCGCCTTCGGCAATATGCACATCTAGAACTGTGATGAATACGTACCGTCGGAACCAGCCGGAACAACTGTGCCTGGTTCTTGACAAAGCTGCAAGCGCATCAAGCGAGCTATGGTCACTGACCCCACACCATGAAACCGAAGACTGCGCAGTCGACGTGCCCCCTTAGCGCGATCATTGAAACGTGCTCGATGCAGCAATGTGTGTTAAACGTATGTAGCGTTCTACGCGCTGTCAGTCAAGCGCGGTGCTGTGTGACGACCACACAACGCCACTTCAAGTCTCCCCTGGGTTTTTAAGACACACGCGGGACTAATGAGGAAGCGACTACGAATAACCACCTCTGCTCTCCTCCAGCTTGCCCCGACCTTCTCTGTTACATTATGTACCCATCCAATGCGGATGTGGAAGAGACGACGAAATACTCAACCATGCTGAGACGTTTACCCAATGCTCTGTTAGATTATGTTCTGGTGTACGCTGTGCTCTGCCTCCTCCGCTCCGAACATCTGTGCCCTCAGCTCCTAATAAAGGCAACGGGCTAATCGCCAGCACATGCACACAGCCAACGCCTTCAAAATCCACCCCGCCTGGAGTGCTTAGACATGGACAGCTACTTTGCGTTCTTGGCCCCTCCCCTCCTCTCTCTCATGACTCGCTTTCACCGCCCACCTGTTCGTCCTTGCGGCGCTCTCTGGGGGCAGCCGTAGAGGTTGGTGTAGACAAGAAACTTACCCAGCGCGGACCCCAAACATTGTGTTTTCTAGTGGTCCACATTGTGCAATCGATTTGGTGCAAGTCGCCTGCCGAACTTGAAATTGTCAACCCCACATCTCGCGCAATCACTCCCCCCGCCAACCCGCAACTTGGCTTGCAAAGCCCATGGCGGCGGCGACTGCTATGACTGTTTGGCGCTGGCTAACGCATCGCCACGGCCGCGCTGGCGAGCGCAAGCTCGCGCGCAGAGCGTCCAGATAGTCTGGCGCGACCGGCGCGGCCGCGGCGGCACAGACCGCTGCTTCCCCCCAGCGCGTTTCGCAGGCCGCAATGACGCGCGGGCAGTTCATTGCGAGTCGGTGACTTGGGTGGGCGCGATATCAAGGCGACGTCGACTACGGCTGACACGATAACGATTGTAACAATGTAAGTGACGACGACGATGACGATGGCAAGGCCAATGACGGGGCCGACGCTAATCACGCCGATGGCGATGATGCTGTCCACGTGTCAGTGGTGAAGGTTTGGAACAAATTCGACCCGCGCGCGCGGCCGACGGGCGAAGATGGCCCGCATGGTATTGAATCTCTCCCCCCCCCCCCAGCACACGCGCAAGGGCGTTCGAATGATTTCGAAGCGCGCGCGAAAGAGCCCGTTTTGGTCGCGGTTGAATAAAACTGGATGAACCAATGGTATTCTTAAGGATTCGCCAGAGTACGCGCGCGCAGACTTGTTGGAATAATTGTGTTGCAAAGCCACTTGCTTTGTTTGCATAAATCTACACATAGAGGTATGTATGTATGTATGTATGTATGTGTATATATATATATATATGTATAAGGACATTCGGTTCTGCAGCCCTTACGAAACCACGGTTGCATGCACTTCGTCTCGTGTTTTGGGGCCGCAGAGTTTTTGCAAACTGATGATGTATGGAGAAAAAACGCGCGCATCGTACCACTTGACAAGAATGATGGGGGGGGTAGATGCCGGCTTGGCTGGCATAGTGTGGGTTCATATATAAAAAATGAATGGCGGGGACATCTCATATACAAACTAAGTTTCTCCAGGGGAGAGGGTGATCGGGACTGGGGTGGTTTGTGGGTGATCCGAACATTTTGTTCTGAACGGAGACTCTGCGCTGTGCAATATACGCGGTGCACTCCACGGGGTGCAAACTCCTCTGTTCGCGCAATCTTCCCACCCTCCCACCCGCAACTTGGCATGCAAAACCCGTGCGGCGGCAATTGCGACACCTGCTGACGCTGGCTGGCGCATCGCAACGGCCGCGCTGGCGCGAGCACGCAGGCGCACAGAGCGGCCAGACAATCTGGCGCGACCGGCGCGGCCGCAGTGGTGCTGGCCGCCGGGCACTTCCCGCCGCGTCTCGCAGGCTGCGGTGGCGGGCGGGAGTTCAGCGCGGGTCGGTGACTGGGGCGAGCGCGGCATCATGGAGACACCGGCAACGGTAGACGCGATAATGATAGGACCAACGGCGGCGATGGTGGTGAAGATGCCGATGCTGGTCGCGCCGGCCACGACGATGGCGCCCTCGAGTCGGCGATGGCGGCTTTAGGAGAATTTCGACATGCGCGCGCGGCAGACGCGCGCGAATGGCCCGCATGGTACCACTTAACTGTGGTCACGCTTTCCCCGCACCATCCCAGCGCGCGCGCAAGGGCGTTCGCACGATTCCGCCGCGCGCGCGAGAGGCCGAATGGTCGCACTGGCTGAAAACATTGAAAGCTGATGGGCGTTCTGTAATACTCGCTAGAGCGCGAGCGCAACCTTTTGAACATTCCCGTCGCGAAACCATTGGTTGAACAATGGGCCAGAATCATGCGTAAATTGCACACCCCCACGGTGGGGGGATAATCCCGGGGGGGTGGTAGATCCAAATTCCTTGTTAGAAGCGGAAATTCATGCAGCGCGATATATGTCGCGCGCTTTGCGTGGCGCAATGCATCTATGCACATATGCAAGTGTATAAGTGTGTATATATATATATATATACAAAAATTGATACATATAATACGACCCACGTGATGCGATCGACGCGATTTTATCGATGATGTACAAGCTACGTGGCGCAGTCTGAGGGGCGCACTACACGCGGTGCAATCCCTGCGTCGCAATCGACGCGGAGCAAGTCGCCCTGCCGAAGATGAACAGGTCAACTCCGCTGCTCGCGGAATTCCCCCGCCGCGCATCGCAGGCGACGCCGTCGCGCGCGCGCGTCGACGCGAGTCGGCGACTCGGGCAGGCGCGGCGCCACGGCGACGTCCTCAACGGCT